TTCGTTTGTTCAAAATTGTATGACGAAAATCTCAACGATTCGTATGATGAACCTCCAAACCGACCACTTATTCAATATCGTTGGAAATGCTCATTTCGCCCTCGAAAAGTCAAGAAGCAGAACAAGAAGAAAAATATAGCGACTTGGACAATGGGCCTTGAGAACTTTTCAGCATACACACACACATTCACCAAAAAACACACAAACTTTACGTCGTTCCTCGTTGCAAACTAAAGTTTTGGGAAGCTAGATCATTAAACTTAACCAAGTTACAAGTTGAATTCCACGTGAAGTATTCAGCCCGGAGATTTGGTCATACAAATGCCATGCAAAAACTTGTATGATGAACGATAAACACAAATCTTGGGGAAAAATCAAATATTAGTAAATATATATTCGGTCTAATAAATTACATTTTGAATAATTGACTAAATGTTGGGAACGATATCATTGCTGATTGCATAATTTGATGATCAAATATTTATTAATGCTTTTTCCAACCAACTTTCGGACTTCACTTTGTGATAACGGTTGCATTCTTCCTTTTTGAACGGTAAAATTTTAAATAAGTTATTTTTATGCAGTGTGCTACCGGGTTATTCAGCAGCTCCATGACGTACGGGCAAACACACACAGACACGCACACATACAAATGGCATGAAATTCCATTACATTTGTGGAATTATTGTGGTATCTCTCTCATTTCGTATTCGAGGAAGGCGGTCTTTTTTTCGCATTAATACCACAAAGCTTTTGGCGGAATACACAAAAAGAAGACGGGAAAAGTTGCAAAGAGAGAGAGAGAGAGAGAGGGAGAGAGAGAGAGAAAGAGAGAATCCATTGCATGGCCAAATAAATCCGTGGCAAGAGACTCTAATTTATTTCACAAATCATGAATATTAATAGAAGATGAAAGATATGAACTCATAATGTATGATGTTGATTATCGCTGCAACGACAGCGACAGTAAGCTTGCAGACAAATGATGTCAATACTGCCATAATTTATATTAAAAAATTAATAATGTAACGCTTCTTGTGCCGTTCTTCACGCCACAAACAACACTTTGTGTATTGCATGCGCCAAGCAATCGCATTCACTCCCTCTATATCTTTCGTCAGGCCGTTTGTCTTTATGAAACAAGCATACCGATGTAAAAAGTTGAAGAAAGGGACAGAGTCAAAGTGAACGAGATGACACTGTGGAAGAAGCTTAGCTGTTTTGTTCAAAGTTTTCATAAAATTTCAAGTCGTTTTGGCCCTAGCCCGAAAATGCGAGATAATTTTCTGTTCACACCGACATGAATTCTGAGTACCTATTCCGTTAGATAAGTCCTTGGCGAAAATGAACAGAAGACGAACAAACAGTGAGAAGGAAAGGCAGAGATGCTAAATCGAAAGAGAAATAGAGTGTAGCAAATGAAAAGGAAGCCGTCAGGTTATTGTGTGGCCTTTGAGTTGAACTAAGTATTGGTAGCCACTTCATGCGAACAAATGTGACTGGTTCAAGGGGATGTTTGCAAATAAAAGCGAAATAACTATGTTTGCACACAATGAAAGCACTTCTTCAGCATACACACGGTCAATATAGCGTAGTACGCATACACAACATTGAATAACGTCCATGAAAAGCAATTCATTCTCTTTCAAAACTCACTCTGGTGGCATCTATTTATGTTTAGCAATTCATTGTGTAGCAGAAATTTTGGCACAAAGAAAAAAAAACGTGGTAGCTTGAACAGGTCGGTAATCCAATGTGAAAATCTGTGTATATACACTGAAATTAGAAAAACCTCAACTCACACATTCGTTAGATCAGTCTCTTTCAATCTGCCTGTCTTTTGCATTTCGCAACGGTCGAGAATTTGAAGTAAGCATATCTCTCTGTCTTGCGTGCGCCACTCTAACATAAATAGTTCTTTTCACACGTTGAATTCGCGGTGATGTATTGCATGTGTCAAACAAACTGATATATGTTGTTCTGCTGTTTACTTTACTGCTTCGTTATTTCTCCAAATTTGCAGACGTAATGCGCGTAACCATTTCAGACAACATCATTAATATTGATCTCAGCAACAGTGTTAATTCACAACCAACAAACACACACACACACACAGAGTGGGAGAGAGAGGGAGACAGAACACGAATCTTGAGCATGATGCTGGTGTGGATGCGAGGGAAATTCGATAGGGTAACCACTGACAGTCTGATATGAATTTGCATTCAATGTCGCGTCGCGACGCATTCAATCGTTTGTTCGTTCGTTCATCTCCACCGGCATTGGATTTACAGAAAACAGGGAACAGTGATTGCAAATGCGGTGTGAGATGATGCAGTTGCATCTGTTCAAACATTTACAATAAACCCACTCGATTTTCCCACCATATCAAACGAATCAAGCCAACCAACTGAAAACAGAACGAGATTTAGTAGGTAGAACAATCGTAGTGTGTGCAACACTGGTCGAAGAATCACAGCAATGATGATGTTAATGATGATTCTGTTTGGTATGCGTTTGTGTGTGTGTGCATGTGCATATGAACCAGATCAAACAAATATTATTTGCGATGAAATTGCACCGCGCCAATTCAACACACCTCCGAATGGGGTTTGTGCACATTTTTTCCCATTGTGTACTATTTTCATCGGTTCATTCTAAAGTGGTCAGATAGAGTCTAAATTGAACCGAAGATTTTCTAATTTGGCCCGACAAGAATGACAATTTGAGCAGATAATTTTATTCCAATTTGTCCAGATAAATTCCAAAAAAAGTCAGAGAAAACTCTAGATTGAGCAGAGAAAAATGGATTCACTATTTTTCTGCTTTTGACAGACAAACTTGTCCGAAACGGTCAGATATATTTCCCAAAATGATCAGATAAAATCCTAATAAAACCAGATATACTTATTCGAAAATGTGCAGACTTTTTCTGATTTTGGTCGAAGATATTCTAATTTGATCCGACAAGAATGACAATTTAAGCAGATAATTGTATTCCAATTTGGCCAGATAAATTCCAAAGAAGGTCAGAGAAAATTCTACATTGAGCAGAGAAAAATGGATTCACTATTTTTCTGCTTTTGGCCGACGCACTTGTCCAAAACGGTCAGATATACAGAAAAATATTTCGAAAATGAGCATAAATGAGTTCCGGTTTTTTTGACATGTACTGTATAACTAACGAAAACGAATTCTTTAGAATGTAAAAATAATGCAGCGATAAGGAAACGATATAGATGCTCATCATAAATTATTTGGCATTTTATGCAAGGCTATAGATATTGGATAAGCGAAGCTTCGGGTGCTGATATACAACGGTAAATATTTCAATACGTTCAACCCATTCCATCAAATTTTATCGTTGAAATTTCATTTGATGCAAACAAAGCGCTCGCATAAAAAATCTGGACTGAAACATATCACCAATCTAGATAGCTCAATCTCCTCTGCTTTTTTTGTTGTTGCTAATGCTGATGCTGCCGCTTACAATTTTTCTCTATATTTTGCGCTCTGTACCTCCCCCTCACTTTCGTCTACATGAAACTTTGCACAAAAGTTTTTCAAATATTTCCTCGTCGAGTTACCAATGAATTAAGCTTCATTTAAAATTCGACCACCTGTAGCTGCACGCCACTTCCTGCTCTCACTACATGTAATTCACACGACATGTATACAGCCCCTGTGTGCAGCGTGAACTCTTACTACCATGCTATCACGTACGCACTCACATGCTTCATATATAATGAGATGATCAAATTTGTTAGCTCAAAACCATTTAATTTAACCTAGGATTCTTATCTGTCTTATGTAATAACGAGTGATTTATTCGAAATGCCAGAAGCAATTAACCAATGACACGATTCCGATTGGATTTAATTTACATTTTCTCTCTCTCTCTCTCTCTCTGTTCGCCCGCTCACATTTCATTGAATCGATGCATAGTTTCGATGGGTCTATATCCACTACAGTAAAAATTGAAACATAAATTGTGGTTAATTTCAATTGAAAAGTTTACATACTTTTCTTTGGCCTCATCCCGACTCAATTTCCACGACGAGCGTAACAGATTTTGAAATGTAAAAACTTTGTGCGTTTGTTGAAAAAGTTTTAAATGTACGAAAAATGCACTCCGATATTAAATAATTAATTAAACATTTGCCAAGTAGAAAGTTTTATCTCTCAATTTAATTCTCGGGCTGTCATTTGATGTCTTAGAGTGGATTTCAAACACAGTACATTTTCCAGCACAAATCGTTGTTTTAAATATGACCAATAAAACATCCCCTCTAATCTTACCGTTTCCTTTTCGAAAGTGTCACCACTGTGAATGCGTAGCATTCGTTGTCTTCGTGGTGGATGTGTGTAAGTGTGTATGTGTAGTTTATATAGTTCAAACCGAGAGTTGTATGTCGATGGATTCGAAATGTCAAAAAGTCGAAAGTACAATAAAATAGTAAATTAATGTTTGAGCCACTTCGCTCATCGTAATTAGTATTTAATTGGGCGTGATTAAATGATAAAACTATTTCGTCGTTGTGTCAAGTTTTCTGGTTGAAAGCGTTTCATGCAACTGTGCTCGTTCGCAAAGTTTCTATTGATCTCAATCACGATATGGCCAAATCGCAAGACATTTTCTCTCTCTCTCTCTCTCTCTATCTATCTATCTATTTCTATCTATCTCTATATTTCTGTCGTTGTCTTCAATCAATTGAAGAATGATTCGATACCATGCTGAGCTGCGGTGAAAGCTCTTTCTTAAGAAAAATAATCGACAACAATAACAACAAGCAATTATGTGCTACTTCGTGGTTACGTTTTAATAAGTTTGAAAAGCGAACTGAGCCAACCAAGTAATGGAAAGCGAGAAAACCATGCAAACGAAATAAAATATAAAGTAATTTTCGAAGCCGTTTCAGCTAATGAGTTTGGTAACAGTCAAATTAACACTAACATTTCGATAAAATTTTGCGTTTTCTCTCTTTCTCACCCTCTAATTCCAGAACCAGAAAGACAACTTAAAGGGAACCACGAGTTTTGCGACTAAAATTCACGCATCTCACTCAACCACTGGCATATGACTGCTATCGACTCGGGACGAATTTCCATAAAATGGTACGTATGCATGTTTGAGATTTCATTTGAATCTCCGTATTTAACTTTCCGTATCAAGGTTACGGCTACTTTTGCGACCGTGAAACTGAAAACATTCAAAAAAAGAAAATAGTAAAAGGAGAAAAAGAATAAAATGATTCTCAGATTGAGAAACTTTTGCCAACGAAGTGTAAGATATTTACGTTTCAGAAGAAATAAGTTGTAGATTTACGTTGCGCACACGAGAAAAGAAATCCACGAACTTTCGACGACCAAGTGGCCTATTTAGATTAGTTGGTTTTATTTCGGTGTTTTTCATTTGGAATGATCATAGGGAGAGGGAGAGAAAAAGTGAAAGCAAGAGACGAACAAGAAGAATAAGCAAGAGAGAAAACAGATATTCATTTATGAGAGAACGGAATGGAATAAGTAGTTGACACGTGAAACAAAAATTTTGTTGTCAGCCCGATTTCACGGCTCTTATCATATTGGACTCATTAGCGGATTGCGAAAAGACATAGATTACGAGTTTCATTACTAGAAAAGCCCGAAATGTCAAAATATCCGAAGCATGCTATACGTATGCCACGACAAAACATTCCAGTCTATCAAATATCACAAAACGAAACAAGTCACCCGAATCAAATTCACCGCTCGCTGGCTCGCTCTTTCGTTTTGACGGTCGCTTGCCTTGCTAAGTAAACATAAACACGATTGTCTAATCAACTCACGTAAGCAACAGTAAATATAATTAAATAGCGAAATCCTTTCATATTGATTTCGTGCATAAAGCAAAGCACGATAAGGCCAACGGAGTGAACCATCAAAAATACATAAAACTAATAACTATATAAATATTTCAGCATTTCTTCTGTTTTCGCTTCATTTTGCCACGTCCAATGAACCAAAGTCATATAAACATGAATTCACACACACACACACGCATCGACGAAAAATCAACACAGATTTTTAGAACATTTCACAACTCGCACAATAAATTCCTGTGAAATATACGCAGCTTCGGCGTTGCAATTGTTGGTGCTTTTCGAGCGAGACCTCCTTTCGGTGAACGCCACAACATCGTACATATAAGCAGCAAGTTTATGAAAGTTCAAGACAAAATAAGCCCTCAAGTTTTAGGCATAACACAATGCGCACACAGTTCCGATTCTCGGAAACTTGAATTTCGCCCATTCATAGATAAATTGACCATAGCAAAATACTCGGTTTTGCTTTTAGCAAACATGCCTTTTTTTTCTTTCTCATCAGCAAACAAACTCGCTTCTTAAGTGTCAAAAATCTGATTTGTTTTAATCATTATCATCAAATTTGTTCATATTTCATGATTTCCTGGAAGAGCGAAACATAGCCCATGCTTTAATCTCTGTTGTGTCTTCTGTAATGGGACCGTTTCTTTCGTCGTTGTCGTCGTCGTCGTAGTCGCCGGCGGTGGCTTCGTAGTTCTCTTCACGAAATAGCGGCATGGGAACGGTTGCGTGTCCCAATTGTATTTACAATCATTTCTGGATAAGTGACCACACGAATGTCCCGACGAAGGGGGGGGATGTGTACAGTGCAGTGAATATCGGTGACCACCCATCCTATTAAATATTGAAAATGGAATCGATAAGAGAGTGACACATGGTTGATGTCACGTAAATTAAACGAAATAAGAATTGATATATGATTGCATTTGATGAAAAACAACTGACACACTCTGTGTTTGTCATTTTTTTTATTTATTTTTTTCCCCTTTTTTAGTTTTGCTCGGCAAAACGATGAACAAATATGAAAAAAGGCACATTGAACATATTGTTCACAATTTCAAATCTGTATATTTATCCAGAGGTTTAGCGCGATACAGAGTAGAGAGAAAGAGAAGAAGGACTGAAAAATCTGTTGAAAATACAGAGGAGATACTCTGTTCACAATAAAAAGAGAGAAAGAGAGCAAAAAAGGAACGGAAAAGAAATGGCCTGAACAGGCTTTGTTATGCGCTAAATCCATTACGCTGAATAAATTCATGCGATAGATTTATGCGATAAATGTGATGCGCTCGCTTTGCGTTGAACGAGTTCTGTTGCTCTTCACTACCGCTTAGCGATGCGTTCACTGCAAAGCATGAACGTTCATGTGTGAAAAACTGAAGAGCAACAGACTTCGTTCACCGCAAAGCGAGCGCATCACATTTATCGCATAAATCTATCGCATGAATTTATTCAGCGTGATGGATTTAGCGCATAAAAAAGCCTGGGCCTGAACTTAAAAGTTCAAGCGGAACTTACACAAGCCACTTTATAACTTTACATCCAATCCATTTTATTTAATGTAATCGTATATATTTTGTAGAGCTTGCGATTTCTGGTAGCAGCTTCTGCTTCTGGTGGTGCTACTGCTGCTACCCCGTTACAGTTACTGCTCTGTTGTTACTCGCTGCTCTTTCATTCGCTTTTTGTCTCTCGCTCACATCCTGAATGTGTGTGATTTTCAGAAAAGAGCCCTCTCCGGCGAAGGTTAAAATGTTTTCAAATATTCAGGGCACAACCGAATATGAAAAATAATATGAAGAAAAAAATAACCACAAAATGATTCAGTCGCTAGATTTCTGTGCCACACACACACACACTCTCTCTGTAGCATCCAGCGATGTAAGCAGTAGCGATATTGTGTCTTGTTATAGTATGTGTTTGTGTGATGAGAGAGTGATATAGTCTCGATGAATGAAAACGAAAACAAACTTGCAGGCAACGGCGAATGCACAGGCAAAGGGAGGCTTCAAAAAGGTTATCTGATATAAATAGCTTTGAATTTTTCTGTCAACTCTATCCATTTTAATGAAAAAACAGTATAAAATATAAATATTATATATAAAACAATTTATACCGATGCCGCTGCGACTACTGCCGCTACTGGCTTTTTGTCTCCCACTCGCTCGCTGTCTCCCTTTCACTCTCTCCACCTTTTCACCGCGTTGTTTTCATAATCTATTCATGGTAGTATCACACAGTTTGTTGTGATATATCGCATATGTCTCAGATGTTTGTGGGACATGCGAGAGAGATATTTACACCACTCGAGATGGTTTGCGCCTCTCTCTCTCACTTATTTTCTCTCTCAAATACACACACACACACTAGCTCATTCGCATAAACTGGGCAAAAAAGGGGTTAGTTTTTGAATTTAATTTACTCTATCTCATGGCGATAGTGATGAATTTTGTTTTGCATGGCAAAGGCGCTGGTCGTTTGTCACGGACAACTGTGGTAGCAAACCGAATTAGAAAAATTTCCTCATAGGTTACATGGTGGTTTGCCATATTTCTGCTACATTGAAGTCAGCCGAGTGTCGCACACAATTTTTCAATTTAAATCAACGAACGAACGTTGGCTTGAATGCGAATGTGCGTATTTGATTTCGAAAACTAGCTAAAACTAGCATGCAAAGTTACTGTGTGACAAAATGAATTTCACGGGCATATTCATTGCCTCTGTATTCTTGATTTCCGCAATGAATTTCATTTAATTTTATTTATACCCTCCCTTTTTTTTCTTGACTTATCACATCTCTATTCACATGCGAATGCCATCGGAATGCGAATGTAAATATGTCTGTCTATCTGTCTATTTGCCCTGTTACACACACATGCACAGATCAATAATGCTGTTAAACTGTTACCAGTATTCACGTATATATGTTATGGACAGGAATGCTAAACATATTATTCTTATAAACATGCCATAAAAAGCTATCATCAAGAAGTATTTCCCATCTCTCTCTCTCTCTTTCCCTCTCTTTATCTATGTGCACATGTGCATCATTTGCGAGAACCGAGACACAACATGATCCGCTGGATGCCATGTGATTTTGGTGTGTGTCACGTGACAAACGGAACTGGATTTGAATAAGTTTTCCCGTCCATATTTTATATGTGTTATACATGTATGTAAATATTCAGTTGAGCAAACAGCAAATCGTTTGTTGATTCTATGCGAATAAATAATTTTAAGGATCTCATTTGTTTGTTCAGGAAACAAATGCGCCTTTTCAAGTGACGGAAGGATCTAAAGACCAACTATTAAACACAGAATAACATTATTTGTTCTCACATAATCGTTTGACCATTTTTCTTCTTCAAAACTAACAAACCAGTCCCCGGTAAAATGCACACAAAAACACAAACATACTACATCGTATGCGCGTGTGCTTGTATATGTATAACAATAATATTCGCTCGTAAGATTCGTATCCATCTCGATTAGGCCATTTTCTGTGACAACCTAAAGCTTCAACCTTTTTTCAGATGAATTAGTTATTGTCACTGAAAAATGGTCAGCCTTTGAGTCGGCCACAAAGCACATGAGTGACAGCCCTGCTTCCCAACTAATTTATACGTATTGTCTATATTCGGTTCGTAGATTTTATTTGTTTAAATTTAACATGTGTCCATTCAATTTTCATGATTCTTTGATTATAATCAATCAGTGTACCTACAATTTGTAACATATTCCATGACAATATTGTATAGTAAATTCAATTCGGAACAATCGGCTCCTCATTAGAGGGTGATGCCACAAGGGATACGAGAGTTTTTTGTGTCAAAAATGATCTTCTAGAATAGAAAACTACTACCTCTCTGTGTCTCTTTGCCCAAAGAATTTTCGAATATTGTTTGCCCTTTTTTCTTATGACGCTTTCGACATCATCCAAAGAATAAGTTATCAAGTTGAGCAGCACATTCAAGTGTAACTTTTCCAAAATGATACGAATAATGCAAAGGGTAAAAAAAAGCAGACCGAAAAATACCATAGTGATTCAAGTTGATTCCCTGAGAAAATATTGTGTAGTTGAATGTAAAAATGGGTACAGTAAAGGTTCAGAAAGTTTTGTTTCCATAAGCATTAAAATAGCTAAAAAAAACTAATCCAAACCATGTGTATTTCATTTAAAGCGTTGTGAATGAAACGCGAATGCAAACGCACATGGGAAGATACGATCGATTTTCACTTACTAACGTGAAAAAT